GGTGTGTAAAGTGTAACTTTCAAACCACTCCTCTCTCTCTCTCTCTCTCTCTCTCTCTCTGGTGTTCCCACGTACTTTTGGTTTTACTTGTGTTATTGTTTATTTTTGTTTTGACTTTATTCTACCTCTCTTTGATTCTATTGCATTTATTTACATTTGTTTAGCATGAATGTACCAATTCAGCTAAATATATATATTTTTTTAATTAAATCTGAGATTTAATTAAATCCATTTGTCTATTTACCTTTCCTTTTAGTTTCCTAAAGCTATTAGGACCTTTTCGTTTTACTTTTACCTTATTTTAGTTATTTTACCATCACCATCTTCGCTCTTTGTATAGGATTACAGTAGTTCTAGCAACTGCTGTTTCCTTAATGAGTTATACAGGTTATTAGTAGCCTAATCCCTGCTTCCTCTCTACTTCTCCTCACTCCTCAGTGCCAGGCCTAGTACATTGAAGGGCAGCTACTGTTCAACACAATGTAGGCCCAGATAGAACTAGGAACAACTTAGCTAACAGTCTAACCCTAGGTTTATGAGTCTATTGCAGCATCACCCACAAGTGACACCTGCTTAGCCATATTTCTCAGCAAAAAAAAACTAAATAGGTAAAATCTTCCTTCTTCCTTATCTTTTTTTTTTATTTCATTTTATTTTATTTCAGTTTTGTCATAGTGACCAAACCTAAATACTTACAGCGGATCTAAATATTTATAATGAATTATGATTAATTATTCATATTTCCCCTTTGAGCTGATTCGCTACACTCATTATATTTTTTGCCAATAAAAGCCTTTAAAACTTATGATATGCTTATCATTGTTTTTCAGTATACCATAGAAACGTGGAAAATAATCTACAAATACTGAAGCAAACAAACTTTGCAAAACACAACATTTATGTTACTGCCAAAACTTTTGGCCATGACTGTAGATGCCATTTTTAAACTCTGAATCTTCAGAAACTTATATTACAAGCTTACATTTGTAAATTATTACAATCTCTGGGGAGTTACATTTTTTTTACTGCAATTTTATGTAGTGTCCTACATAATTTGTATTTTGTAAGAAGCATGCGTTTGAGGAATCATGATCAACTGAACTGGGCATTAATGTAAGAAATGTCAATTTTAATAATGTCAACAATTGCCAGCTCTTACAAATTCTTGTCTACAGGGATATATGGCTGCAAAACAAAAGTACACTCCATAAATGTTAAAATGCAAGACTGTAAGCATGACCAAAAAACAAATTGTTGAGTTGAGAAGTGTCAAATATGACCTTTCATTAGTATATTCGCTGCTCAAAAAAAATGAAGGGAACACTTAAATTACACACTGGATCTTGATGAATGAAATACTGAAGTTGAAAATCTTTCCTAATTCGTTTAGAACAAATGTATGTGACAATGGTCAATGGAAACCAAACTCATTAACCCACTAAGGGCTAGATTTTTTAAAAATCACACAGAAACGTGCATGAATTTCATCAAAGCTGTATTAAAAGCAGAAGGTCTTTCAACCAAGTACTATATGAGTGTTGTGGGTTGTAAAATAGTTTATATTCCTAGAGTTTTATAAATGGTGTATGCTAATTCTGACATTTAGGATGAAACCTTGTATACGAGGTCCCTCATTCCAAACACAGAGAGCATTAGAAAAGTAAGAATTTCGTAATCTGTACTTGCATTTTACCTGGTTGGAATATCTTGTAGTAAGGGCTGTAAGCCACATTCAGGCCTCCAAGTTTGACAGCTACTTCATAGCGTCCAGCCTTACGCACAGTGAAGGCCACTTTGACTACATTAGACTCGGGCTCCTGAAGGACCTCCTGGGTCACAGGGACTTCTAAAGCCAGCTCTATGTGAGTGATGTTCACCCTCAATCCCACAGGTCTGTGTGCAGGAAAAGGCTGGCCATTTTTGTAAAAGAGCTGGGAGGGGGATTTCAAAACAACTAATAAATACATAAAACTGTAGTCATTTTAACTGAGTCAGTACAGACTATACAACATGAAAAAAACTTTTTGAGAAAAACTTGTGATTGGTCACCTGCACTCGGAAACTCATGGTTTGACCCACTTCCTGTGGCTCTTTCCAGTCCCAGGAGACCTTGCATGAGCGTGGGTCCAAATAATTACCCCGCACATAGTCGTAGATACTGCGGTCCCCATGTCGGGCAGGGTCATCATTCTGTAAGAAGCTGACCACACGAGCAGCAAGCTCACACAGAAATTTGATGGTAAAGACGAATGCGATGATGGAAACAGTTATTCCACCTAAAGAGAGTATACGAGTCTTAAAATACTGACAATTAATAAACGTAAAAGATAACATGTTTAGGGACCAATTCTCACCATTAATTAGTTGCTTTTTAGCATGCATATTACTAGCATATTGGTTGTTATAAAGCACTTATTAATGCCTTATTCTGCATTACCATAATTTAGAGATCCCTTAATCCTACCCCACTTAACAACTACCTTACTAATTATTAATAAGGAACAAATTTAATAGTTTACTGAGGAAAAGTCATAGTTAAGAGTTAGCTCATAGTGAGAACTGGTCCCCAAACTAAAGTGTGACAACAAAAAAAAGTTATTTTCCCAGACAATCCAAGAAAATGAAACAAATAACATAAAAAGAAATGTTAGTACAAATGTAATCATGTAATCAGAGCAAAAGTGTTTAACTAACTGAAAATTAGTTAGTTAGAAAAAAATCTGTATCGTTTACTCTAAAATGGTATGATTTTATTTCTTTTGTAGAACACATAAGGATTTTTTTATGAGTGCTTACTTCTCTCTTTTCCATACAGCAAAATAATACAATGACCAGAGGTTGTGAAACTCCAAAAAGGTGTGTGTGTGTGTGTGTGTGTGTGTGTGAGAATGAATATGAAATGTATAAACAATGAAATAACTTCAATTGATGGTTAACAAGTAATATTTGATATTTCAGAGATGAGTACTACTAAACCTGTAGCTAATAGAAAGTACTAAGGTGCTTTTCAACCATTAAATGTTGCACAGGATCACTGCATCTCTGACCAAAACAAACATGCCAACGTGTAAAAACACGATATATAATGAAATTTAGATACCTTTGGCTTTTGTAAACAATATCAAGTGATGTGGTAAGCATTATGGTAATATAGAAACATGGCATGTGGAAGTTGGCATTCAGAAAAAAGCGTTGTACTGCACATCTTGTTTTTACAGAGCAGTGTGGGAGTTCGCTCTCGTAGCCTCCTATAAATGCGGGGAGGGCCAACACTTTCAAAGGGAGGGATACAATAACAAACACGAAACAATGAAAAACTAAACAGAAAAGCTTGGATTACAAAACAGAGACGTTAGATTTCACTCTCTGCTAAGAATGCCATTATGACACTATATCTTTATTAGGGCTGCCCCCGACTAATGATTTTTCTGGTCGACTAGTAGTCGTTCATTTAAAGCATTAGTCGACTAATCGCACGTTTCTTAATAAACTATTTAAATCATAATAATGAGCCTTTAATTGCCTACATAGCCTATGTGCTCAAGTGCACGCATAAGCCCAGCAAGCAATAGCCGTCATTTCACCGTCTCGGTTAACTATAGACCCGATATAGTCCGGCTATGTGTAACCCACTTCTAGCTCAAATAACCTTGAATTTGGTTTCATGTCGTTTTTTGGCGAAAATAACTTGTGAGATGTATGATATTCCATCATGTAAGCAAAGTAACAGCGTTTACAAGGTGTTTGGTTTCATTTCTTTGACATGTTCAGTACTTTGACTACGAGCTAAATCATGGCTATGCACAGGCTGAGCGGCTATCTGTAGCCCACTTATAGTCAAACCTGATTCACCGTAGTTTTTGGCCAGGCAGCGCATGAGATGGTTGATATCCCATCATGTTCGCAGTGTCAGTAATACCTCATGTCGTTTTTTGGCAAAATAACTTGTGAGATGTATGATATTCCATCATGTAAGCAAAGTAACAGCGTTTACAAGGTGTTTGGTTTCATTTCTTTGACATGTTCAGTACTTTGACTACGAGCTAAATCATGGCTATGCACAGGCTGAGCGGCTATCTGTAGCCCACTTATAGTCAAACCTGATTCACCGTAGTTTTTGGCCAGGCAGCGCATGAGATGGTTGATATCCCATCATGTTCGCAGTGTCAGTAATACCTACAAAGATATAATATGTCTGTTCATGCCTAGTCAAGTCTGTTCATTCCTCGTCAAGTCAAGTCCCTGTCTCTAGTCTTCATTTATTGTTTGGATGTTTGGATCACTGTAAATAAACTGCATTCTTGTCTTGTGACCCTCTTGTTTGCTATAAGTAGCCACCATGTTCCCATTGTACCTCGTCGTGTATTGATGTTGTAACCCGCTGTCGGTGAGTCAAGTCTGTTCAAGCCTGTTCATGTCAAGTCAAGTCTGTTCATGCCTAGTCAAGTCTGTTCATTCCTCGTCAAGTCAAGTCTGTGTCTCTAGTCTTCGTTTATTGTTTGGATGTTTGGATCACTATAAATAAACTGTACTTGGGTTCTCACTTACGCTCGCCTTCAGTGGATTGATCGTTACAGCAGCGCACCTGTATTTGATGTACTGTGAACTCTAGTCACTTTGTCTCACACACACACAAAGAGAGAGAGTGCGAGAGAGTCTTGCATACCATGCAGAATTGACGCGCTACATGTAAACGATATTCTTTGTTGTATGTTCCTTTCGAATTCTTCAGCATTTAAGAACTGCCGGGTTTTCCAGTAGTGGCCGGAACTAATGCGCAAAAAACAATCTCATTGGCTGGCGCTCACCTATTATCATCCCTGTTTTGATTTCAGCAAATCAATTCGAGCAAACACACACAACCTGATTAATATTCATGAATCCAACAGCTCGTTAATCCTTAGTGCATTTTATATTGTTCTTATTAGTAGAATTCTAAGTATTATTATTATTATTATTATCTTATCTGTATTATTGTTAGTTTTTCCCCATTTTTCTGGCGAGTAAACAAAATTTACTAGCCAATGGCGATTCATCAATTGCCAAGGTCGTAGAAATTCGAGCAAACACACACAACCTGATTAATATTCATGAATCCAACAGCTCGTTAATCCTTAGTGCATTTTATATTGTTCTTATTAGTAGAATTCTAAGTATTATTATTATTATTATTATCTTATCTGTATTATTGTTAGTTTTTCCCCATTTTTCTGGCGAGTAAACAAAATTTACTAGCCAATGGCGATTCAATTGCCAAGGTGTCCGTAGAGGGTTGTGCAGTCACCTTGCTGATTTTGTTTGTAATTGAATTTACATGGATGCATTATTGACGATGAGTTATGGGGAAAAAATGAGTTTTATTGAGACTGATCATCCTATCCCGGTCATTAACAACAACAGTAATAGTAACAAAACTAAAACTAAAATGTAACTCATGCTCATATGTCACTGAATGATATAGGCATTAGCTCAATAATACACCCAGGGTGACCTTTAAACATGTTTGCATTTTACACAGACAGACAGGCCAAAAACCTTACCCTTATCAGCATAAATGATATTTAAATTATTTAAAATAATATTTAATTGACTTTTTTTTATGTAATATTGATGAAAGAATACATAGTATTATGTTTTTAAATTGCAAATGTATTCGTTGTTATATTAAATCTATGTTTGATTATTTCTTAGGGACGCAAAAGGCACAGATTTTGTGGAATGACCCAAATATTTGTTTTATCACATTTTAGAACTACATAATTAAGCTTTAAAAATAATGGTATCAAGTGATTGACTTACCAATCACGTAAAACATGAGGTCCCTTATCAGAAAGCACAGGGCAATGGTACAGCCAAATATCAGAGCTCCTGCTGAAAGGTGAGACATTAAAACAAACTTCATATGAATCACATCATCATTAAATCATTAATACCAATTCCTTTTTTCTTTATTTTGCTCTCTGATTTAACAAAAAGGACATTTATTTGAGAACAAATCACAGGAGCAAAACATGATAAAGTTAGATGAGTACTTTCAGCCATCATAAAGAGTTGATGTGATCAACAGGGACATATACACTAATAGTCAAAAGTTTTTGAACAGTAAGATTTTTAATGTTTTTAAATAATTATATTTTGCTCACCAAGCCTGCATTTATTTGATCCAAAATACAGCAAATCAGTAATATTGTGAAATATTTTTGCTATTTAAAATAACTGATTTCTATTTCAATATATTTTAACATTTCATTTATTGCTGTGATCAAAGCTAAATTTTCATCATCATTAATCCAGTCTTCAGTGTCACATGATCCTTCAGAAATCATTCTAATATGCTGATTTACTGTTAAAGAAACATTTTTTATTATAATTATTATCAATATTTAAAGCAGTTGAGGACATTTTTTTTTCAGGATTTTTTGATGAATAGAAAGATCCAAAGATCAGCATCTGAAATAAAAAGTTTTTGTAACATTATACACAATACCATTAAAAAGCTTGGAATCAGTGTATTTTTTTTTAGAAAGAAATTATAGAAATTAATACTGTTATTTCGCAAGGATGCTTTAAATTGAGTAAAAGTGATGATAAAGACATTTATAATGTTACAAAATATTTCTATTTCAGATAAATGCTGTTCTTCTGAACTTTCTATTCATCAAAGTAAACTGAAAAATTCTACTCACCTGTTTTCAACATAATAATAATAATTATAATAATAATAATAATAAATACATTTTATATGAAATATAAATTTATTTATTTATAATATTTATTTATATGAAATATATTCAAATATAAAACATTTGTTTTAAATAGTAAAAATATTAGTAGTGATAATAGTGAAAATATTTTTTTCTGTTTTTGCTGTACTTTGGATCAAATAAATGCAGGCTTGGTGAGCAGAAGAGAATTCTTTAAAAAAACCTGTTCTGTACTGTTCAAAAACTTTTGACTGGTAGTATACCTCAAATCTCATGCATACCTGTATATCTCATTTGCAGCTTATATAAAATACCCTTTTAGAACAAACTAAAGAAAATTGAAGGAATACATTAAAAGGAATACAATATGTCAATATGTTTTCTAAATGTACATGTCTAAAGTGCAGACAATGAGTTGTATTATCAACTCTTCAACATTTTGAAAATAACTTCATAACTTATCTCCAACTTCATAATTGATACATAATACATCTCTTCGAGTTTTAAAAAAATTTATTTTACAAAGAAAAAAAACATGGATTTGAATAGCTCTGCTCACAAACACGGATATGGAATATGGAAATAACTTTTACTGCACCTTCAGATCACACTGAAAAAAAAAAAAGTGTTGTTCTTGCTATGTATTTTTGTCTTGTTTTCCATTGTAGCGTTTGAATGCAATCAAGATGTTCAATTAGGTTTTAGGCATCATAACTTTCCCTCCTCCCTTAACTAACAACTATAACTCCCATAACTAAATTACAGATGCAATTACAGATGCATGTCTAACGTCCACCTCTGGTTCAAAGAGCGTTATCACCGCTGCTATCTGCTCCAACGCTAGCAGGGACAGTCGTCAACTTTCTCTTTGAGCTTCAAAGAGATTCCAGGGGGGGAAGGAACGATTCCCCCATGCCCACGAGAAGCCACTAACCATGTTCCTAGGTTATAGTAGCTTAGTTATAACTCTGTAGTAGAATTTACCATTAACCATTTAACAGGTTTTTACTGTATCATTTTTACAGTCTTTTACCGTTAAATTCACGGTCATTTTTTACAGTGTGGCATGTAAGGTATCAAAATGACTGTCTTCTGATTCCTGGATTAATGGTGTAAATTATGTCATCATAATTTGCACCATGCTCTTTTTACCATACTTTGACTTAATATTGGACAAATCCTCCAGACCACCATAAACCATGCAAATAAGGTGTTGCGTGAGACAAAGGAAACCTCTCAGGCTCAAAATTCACACCTCTACATTGGTCAATCTGCCAGATGGGTATGACTGGTAGACCCTTAAAAGTTATTCTTTCTTGGCTAGGAAAATAATCTTTCCTAGAATTGATAAATGATTATACTGCCGGTGGACGAACAGATTAAGATCTGATCTAAATATTCATAATTAATTATAACCAATTATAATTACTTATAAATATAATTCCCTTTTGAGCTAATTTGCTACACCATTGCAAATGTTCCTAAATCAAGATACATTTACTTGGGAAGCAAAAACACAAAATGATAGTCCTGTTTTCAGATAAAATAATCAAAATGAAGTGAGGTTACGATTTAAAAAAAAGAAAAAAGAAAATATCATCTCCCAATTGGCTCAGAAAATCAATTTAATTCAAAGGTTTTCATATCTCATTGAAATATATTTGTTCTTGTTTTAAACAAATTAAATTTTGCGGAACGATGTATGTTATAATACATTGTGTATACAATCACTAAACAAAGAGTGACAGCTTTTTAGCGGTTATGAGCACTCTTTGCAAGCTTTCTTTTTGTTTTTCGGCCACACACACGTTGCAAAGTTTCGGGAATGACGTCTGCATATTTATGCGGGATTCCCTCTCGAAGTAGCAGTGATTGACATAGTGAACACCATAGTAATAGATGGGACAAAATATGTGAAAAAGTGCATTAAGCCTCACTAATTTCAGAAGCACCTTCAGTGATTATTTCTGGAACATGGTTGATACGCTTTTATTGCAAAACTATATACAAAAACAACAAAATACAAATGCACTAAATAAAATAATTGAATAAATGCATATTTACAATTTAAGCACTTCACTAAAATAAGTAGGCTATTAATAAAATAAATAACTAGAGAAGGCTGACTATAATCAGCTTGCTTCCATTTAGTGAGATAATCCTACTCCTCACCTGAATTACAAAAAAAGCTCTTCTGGTCTTCAGTGATGCGAAGACAACGTCTGAGCATGTACATGCAAAATCTGAGTGAGAGCAGAGCCAATTCATAAAAGAACAATATTTAAAAGCACACGTCCAGTTTTGTGTGACTGAAGGAAATTCGCTTGCGAGTGGAGAGATTCGTCCTCGCGCATTACATGGATCACATAACATTATGCGCTCTCAACATTGTCATTAAGATCACACTATAGAAACCGCCTAAAATTAAGTATAAAGAAGAGAAGAAAGCAGCCCTAGGCAGCTGCCTACACATGCCAGGATCCACCACTGCCAGATGCAGTTCGAAATTTACTAAAAACAAGCCAATCGCAAGACATCTGGTGGGGGGGGGCACCTGGGGTAGCCAGCCAAATTTCCACCCCTGGCCACCACGTAGACACGCCCCTGATTGTATGGAAGCATATGGGTAGCAAAATTCATTTTGAAATGTAATATGCAAAATGACAATGCAATATGTAAAATGGCAATGTATTTCTGTATACAAATTTTACATTTTCCCATACATATGTGCAACATTTAGTGCAAAATGAAAATGAAAATTAAATTATATAATTTACATTTGCCATTTCCTACACTAGTTTTAATATGTAAATTAAAAAATTATTTTAATGCTTTATATGTTGCAAAATTAAAATAAAATTGTATTACCCAAATTGATTAGATGTTTAACATGTCCAAGCAAAAACTGCAGCAAAATTATCATTTAAATGGCATTTTTCCTAAATGCATTTAGACTTATGGGTAGGACACTTGAGATTGCATTTTCATTGTGATACTGCGTGATAATTGTAGCAAAATGCAGTGTGAATTTCAAAATTCATTCTGAGCCAAATATGCAGCAAAATGGTGATTTAAATGCCTTTTTTTTTCTTAAATGCATTGACACTTACACTTAAAGGGGTCATCGGATGCCCAAGTTGATATGATTCTTTAGGGTCTTATTGAAAAGTCTATAACATACTTTGGTTAAAATTTCTCAACGGTAGTGTAAAACACCCTTTTTACCTTGCCAAAAACAGCTCTTTTCAGAGCAAGCTGTTTTCTATGCCGCTTTAAATGCAAATGAGCTCTGCTCAACCTGCCCCTCTCCTCTGAGCCGCTCTCTGAGAGATGGTAAACTTTAGCCGCATTCATCGTGAAACTTGCTAATTAGCACATTATTAGGAAAGGCGATTTGCAAAGATTCATTAAAAAACCTTATACTCACTTCTTCTGTAGGTGAGGCTGGATCACGAATGATTCGCGCGAACATAAACGCATTTAGGTAGATTGGGGGTGCATTCCCTTTAGAAACAAACGTAATCCACTGCGTCTTCAGCGGCTCAGATTTTGGGCGTAAATGACGACTGCTATGTACATTATTACATCCAACAACAAAACACCTCAATCGCTTAGGAGACAATCTTGTCTACATCTGCTCCGGCGTCGAAACAATGGCGGACTGATGACAGCTCACTCAGGGCGGGTCTGAGGTAAGACACCAGTCCAGAACGGCTTGATTTGAGAAAGGGGTTATGATTTTAGTAGATTAAAAAAAAACACTGGATGGATTTTTATCATTATAGGGTGGTTGTGTACACACAATGCCAACACACATTTCAGTTCAAACAACTTCTAAAAGTGCATGTCACATCCGATGACCCCTTTAAGACGCTTCAATTGTATTTTCATTAAATACCCCGCGATAATGTAGTTTAAGTCAATGTGGATTTGAAAATGCATTCCGAGCCGATCACGTCCCCAACCTGTCAATCATTATATCAAGGCGG